AATAGCATCCTAAAAGTATATAATTTCATTCTCAAATTCTAGTAAGTAAGTAAGTAAGTATAGTATATACATTGATTCAATATTTAATTGATATTACCCATATTAGTATTACATTTATAATATATATTTTTTCTATCAGGAAACACATCGTTAAAAAAATATCATTTTTAAATTAATTAAATGCAGGTTATTATTTAACAAAAATGATCAACAGTTATAACAAAATATTTATTAGTATTATTATTAGAAATGTGGTTATTTTATTTGTGTTTATTTTATTTTGACACTCTGTATATAATTTTTTGATATGTTATTCTTACTTGATCTTTACGTTCGAATGTCAGTAATAAATAAGATTTTACATTAAAGTTGTCATTATTTTTGGATTTCCATTTTTTGAAGATAAGTTATTTGGGCCTTTTAAACGAGTATTTACTCTTGTTCTTTTGACCGTCTTTTTTGGTCAGGTAGACCATAAAATTCGTTAAAGTAGCCGTGCAAATATGGGGTGGTTTCACTAATCTTTCCATATATTTGTGTCATTGAGTGGACTGTATAATAGTTTTTGTTTCTTGTACGTTGTAAGCCAATTAAAATACTACAATGCTACATCAACTTGTATTCTTTATTTAATAATTCGTGTAAACGACTAAAGTTAACATTTCATGAACTAAAAAGGCCCAATACGGATACAATCAGCGCCAAAATGTCTAAATCTAACACTGCTTGCAGATGCTAACGTTTCGCTAGAAAACACCCCGAAATATTACTTTTAAATTATATAATTTATGTATACAAAAAACGCCGGCTGGCTGATGCCGACAAAAGCGGAAGAACTTCACAAAACCGGACAAACCCATCTTTCGTTGAGTCAAGATCAATTCAATTAAAACAAAGCTGAGTTGAGAGTTTGTATTATCTTCCTCCATGGTTTGTACGCGGTAAGAGCAAACTTCCAGGGTTAGTCGGAGTCATATCATGAATAGCCAATCAGGCGTGACGTTATATATTGGTTACATAGTGCATGTCCCCCTTTGATGCGTTTAAGCCTCAGACAAATAAATAAACAATATAAATAATTATGCAATACTTGTAACCAGCATCTTCCACCTCTATGTAGCAGTGGATACACGACTTGATTGGATATTCGCTATTTTGGTTACCCTATTTGATTGGTTAGCAAAAAATTGACAGTAATACAGTTAGTTATTATATGGTTATTTTGTGCTGACATTGTTTATTTTGAGTTTATTTCATATTTTCATTGAAAATTTTTGGAGGTTGAATTAGGTTTGGTTCATTTAATTGCTTTAAAATGCCAATGAAGTGTGTTATGGGCTCCAGAAAGTATCTCAAGTTCAGTTCGTTCATAGGTAAGTAAACAAAAACCATTACCGTTGCATCACACTTTTTTCAGGGGGTAACATATTTCAAAATAACATCGAATTTCGAATTATTGTATTGTGCCTGTGTTTAATAACTTTGAATTTATCAATAGGCTTCCTTTAAATTAAGATTATATTGTTACATTTAAGAAGTCTCTAGTGGCATTACATTTAGTTATAACTAAATACTTGGTATTGCTTTATTTTAATGACATGAAATGTAGTTTTAGAGCACCATAGTTATTTTAAAGTAAAGAATATTATGTTGCATTCTGTGTAACATGAAATCCTACCTGTCCATATAAACAAGGAAACACTGTTAATACCTATTAAGGTATCCAAAAGATCCTTAAACTAGGGATATGTAGATGAAGAACTTGGGTATTCATGAGGATGAAGTAAGTGAATTTAGTAGAATTTGTTTGAAAAATTTTAAAGATTCTGAAGTCTCCAGGTGGAAAATGTTTTTAACGAACGGAGTACCTGCCAGAGCTGGGACGAATCCTCAAAAAGATGATTCGAATTACGAATCCGAATCACGAGATGTGATTCGAATCACGGATCATATGTCCGAATCCTTTTTGCAATAAAAAAGTATTCGAATCAAGTGATTCGAATCCATTTTTCTGATCATGGATACGAATCACTGTTAGCATCATACCATAGTATTATGCATGCTTTCGAATTTAATATCAATATCAAATCTGACTCTGACTTGCATAAAAATGGTTGATACAAGAAGATGTTGAAAAAAATAAACTTTTTTTTTCTATAAATATGAACCATAAATAAATTAGAATCTACAAAAAATATATTTTATTTTAATACAAAAAACAAAATAAACAATGAAATAAAAATGTCTTTTGGTTGGCCTTTACATAGCACAAAAATTTCGAGGTGCGTCGATTATACCTACAAACATACTCGTTAGACTGCACCAGACGAAAGAAGGCAAGTGTTAAATTTTACGATTTTTTTTATGTTGGACATTTATTGCTAATTTGTTGTTTCAAAGAAGGCAGCAGAGCACCTAGGCAATTTTGAGTTGAAACCTATGCTATATTTTTAGGCTATTTTTATGCTATTCTTTTTTTGCAAAAATCAAGGTACTCTGCTAGCTTCGAACGTAGTCAGCAGAGCACCTCAGTTTTTAAGTTTTTATCCAAAACGCCCATTTGAAAGTTCCAACAGTGCACGAAAATGCTTTCCATCATGTTTGGGATTTGTCTGATGATGGCTATACTTTCAAGTGGTTTGGCGGTGAGGCTATGACAAACACCATAAATGAAATAGTTCTGCAAAATATTGAGTCTGAGGAGCGTAACCAAGAGGAACAGGAAACGACACAAACCATCGAGTAAGGTTAATGTAACGTTTGTTTATTGTATTTATAGTTTATTTATTTAAAACACTATTTACAATTTATTTATAACATACTAATTAATTAATATAACACTTAGATACTATTATAACTCACAATTCTAATTTATTTATTACAATTTGTCTTTACTATCCAACACTTAAATTGAATCTTCCCGTTCGTCGACAAACTCGCGCTATTTATATAAAGCTAGTTCTGTACCAAAACACTCTAGGCGACTCAGAACGATCAGGGACTGCCTCTCTATGACTCATACGCCGCAAAGGGAGTTTCTCGAAGCGGTGCGTTTGTTTTTATATGACTTCGCGTCACAATAATATAAAATAATAATATATATTTCTAAAAAAATACTTAATATATTTATAACTTGTATTTAAGAGACAAAATGTTTAATAACAATAATAATAATATTAATCTTAATAATAATAAAATAATAAATTTTTTAAAAATAAATTTCAAATAAACATGAGTAGGTACTTTGGTTTTTTTTTTGTGAAAAAACACTCCAAAAGGGGCGTTTATTGATATTACAATCTGATCAAGAGTTGATCAATGAGTAATTTTGTTACAACCTAACTTAACTAGGGTTGCAATTTTAGTAAATACAGAAATTAATGTTTACTTGAATTCTTTATATATACCAGATTATGTATCGTAGTCCTGTAGGCGTGTTTTAATTTTATAATTATTTTATTTTGTATAATATTTTTGTATAATATTTTTGTATAATATTTTTGTATAATATTTTTGTATAATATTTTTGTATAATATTTTTGTATAATATTTTTGTATAATATTTTTGTATAATATTTTTGTATAATATTTTTGTACAATATTTTGTATAATATTTTTATATAATATTTTTGTATATTATTAATTATTCTCGTTGATCAGTAGTTTATAAACTTTAATGATTTCATCATGAGTGACCTGGATATCCTATAGGTACGCATTTTCAGAAAAATGGAAGCATTTTAGAACATTTTGTCCACTACATTAGATCCGGTATTTTTAATCTTAAATATGCTTTTATCAATTTCACAAGTAATGACCTCAAAAACCTGTATATACACATTTTTAGAACAATTTACGAATTTTGACATTTTTTGTCCGCCATATTGAGTCCGCCATTTTGATTTGACAAGTTCGACGTCAAATTCGTAATCAGCGACCTCAAAAACCTCTAAATACAAGTTTGGAAGCAATTCTGCCTAGTTATTCCAGAGCGTCGCTAAAAGCAAAAAAAAAATAGTTTTTTCGGTATGGCACCCCTTTAGCGACACGCGATCGGTATGGAAGTTTAACCTTCGCTAAAGTGATGCAACAGAGCATCTTAAAATCAAAACGCCATACCGGTACCTATTATACATGTTCATTGCTAAAAATGACATGTTTGCCCCATTATGGCGGCCACTTGGCGACGCCCCAGAGGTATGGTGTTTTGAAATCTTTGTTGTACAGTTCATTATTAACAATGATCACGAAACAACAGCGTGGGGCCCATGATCCATGTCCACAGTGGAAAAATTACACGTTTTGGTAAGTATGGCGGACCTTAAGTGGCCTCCTAGATGACATAAAACAAGAATCAAAGTGGGGCTTATGATCCAGAGGCATGGATATTAATTAAAAGTTTGAAAATTCACCCTCCCTAAAAGCTACACTTTAGGGGTGCCATACCGGGAATTTAAAGTGGGGAATAACTTTGTCTATTACCCCCCAAAGCCTCGGCGTGGGGCCTATGATACATGCAAAAACCATCTCGGCTCCCGGTCTATAAGTCAGAGCTCATTCGATATGCTGATGAACGTGGCAAAAAATTAACGATTTTAATTGGTTTTCTATTGATACCAGAAATGTTCTCTGTATTTTTAAGATAAACAATTATCACTGTCAATAATGTCATGTCATTGGATTTTTTTATGAAATAAATTGTAAATATAATCTTGTCTCTAGTTGACATTTTATCACACTTTTTCGGTTTGTTAAATAAAATATAAATGTAGATAATTTTAAGCATATTAGTATTGGCCATACTGAAATGTTCCACTTCAACTAGCAAAAAGAAGAATTTTTAAATTGTAAATATTTTTTTAATATTACTTTAATGACTGTAGTCATGTAGTAAAAAATAATTTTAGTTACAATTCGCGAGCGTTAAAAATTGCTTTTTTACAGTTTATGTTGAAAACGTTTCAATTAACCAGCTCTTAAACAAATATTTTTTCACTTACCCCGACGTTGAATGGATTCTTGGCGATTTTTCCTATAGTATCCACTATATTTGTTGAATCACCCTTCTGGTAATTTTTTTCTTTAGGCTTGAAAACATCTAAAATGTTTGGCTTTCCTGCCTTGTCATTATCTTCTTTGTCCTTCGGTTTGAAAACATCGAAAATGTTTGGTTTTTCTGCTTTGTCATTATCTTCTTTGTCCTTGGGTTTGAAAACATCAAAAATGTTTGGTTTTTCTGCCTTGTCATTATCTTCTTTATCCTTGGGTTTGAAAACATCAAATATATTCGGTTTTGCTTCCCCATCTTCGTTTTTCTCTTTTGGTTTGAAGATATTTTCGACTTTCTTAGAAGACTGCCCGAAAAGAAAATTTTTATTTTTAATGTAGGTTAGCTTAATTTAAAAATAAGTAAAGGAATAATCCAGTGGTCCACCAAATTTTATTATTTTATTCGCATATTTTAATTATTTAAAAATTCAATACTACTTTTTACATTATGTCAGTGGCGTGCGGTGATATTTTTGGAAGAGGAAGCGATTGTATAAAAATACAGCAGGCCAGTAAGAACAGCTCCGCAAAAGAAAATTTTTCGCGGTGCATTTATCATTTTGTCAAAATCTTGCTTTTTTTCCCCAGTACTACGGATATTCGAGATTGGGATTTTTGAAGTGTTACTATTACTTTATTACCTAGTTTAGTACTACAAGCTATAAATAAAGCTTCCTTTGTTTATTTAAACGTAAAAAAAAATATTTAACTGAAGTTTTTTTTATTTTTTCCAGCATTTTTCGCACAGTTGAAAAAGCAGTTGAAATTTATTTATACTTAAGATATATTCGCCTATCCTCAATGGCTGCAAATTTGTCAATAACATCGTCGTAAAAGTTTGGATTTTCTGATAACTGTTTAACAAGCTGTTTTTCAATGGATATTAGGGCTAAATTAGAGAGTCTGTCTTCAGTTGTTGAATTTCGTATAAAACTTTTAATGCGTTTTAAAGCTGAAAAGCTTCGCTCAACTGGCGCACTTATGGCTGGGAATTCACACAATTTGACGACTTTACAAAGGGACTTATTTAAACCAGTTATTATAAGAAAACTTAACACATTGATGGGCGTCTTTTTATCACTAATTTCAGTGGTTTCATAAACAACACTTAACTGGTACTTTAATGATGTAATATAAAAAAAAAAAAATTTATTAAATTAAAAGTTTCCGGTGAAAATTTTGATGAATCGTAGTTAATAATATTAAAATTGCACAATTCAACAAATTTTAATTCGTTAAAGTTTTGAAATCGAGAGTTCATTTGTTGTAGAATATTATCAAAAATTTCGGCGTATTATCGACGATAGAAGGTCTCTCTGTCGCCGACATTATCAATTCTAATTCTCTTTCTTTCAGGTTTTAAGACAATGTTTCGAGTCTTATTCCAGAAGTGTTCAAACTGATCTCGTTTTTTATTCATTTTATTTTTAAAATCATCAATTTGTTTAATGCAAAAGCCAATGCCATTTGTAAAATGTTGAATAAAATGTCAGTAAAAGGGAAAATCTCTGCAATCGAAAAAAGTGTGTCAAAGAAACACGGTACTGAAACACTGTTTGCACTAAACGTCCATTGTAGTTTCATCGCGTCGAAGCAACTTTTGGAAACCTTTTTTGAACGTGAATGTCCAAAGCGCGAGTTCTTTTCGATGACTTTGAAAAGAAGGAAGCCAAACCACTAAGCGTCGAACAGAAAACTTTGCAATCTTTAATATTATCCATGCTTCGCGATAAAACCAAATTAAGTCTACGTGAACGAAAATTGCATGTTTAAACTTCTCTTTTACTTTATCTTGAAGGCCTCCTAAATGGCCAGCCATTACGGCAGCACCATCGTAGCTCTGGACAACAAGCTTAGAACCACATTCTAAACTTGAAATAATGTCACAAACAATTTTAAACAATGCATCTGCAGTTCGTACGCTAGTGACGTCCAAAAATCCTAAGAATCGCTTTTGAGGAATGCTATCCAATACATATCGCACAACAATGGATAATTGACTTAAGTTTGCTACATTTGTGGTTTCATCAAGCGCAATTGATACCAAAGGTGCTTTTTTAATTTCACTTTTATTGTGATTCATCACAATGTCGGCAGTGCACTTAATTAAATCATTTTGGATTCTGTTTGAGGTACCTCGGAAGGTCGTCGAATCAATAAAATGATTTTTTAGGGTATCATCGTATTTTGCTAAAAAACTTAGAAGGTCCATATAATTTCCTCGATTGGCGGATCCACTTCATTGTGACCCCTAAAACTTAGTTCATGCTCTCCCAGGAAACAAGTTACATTTATTAATCGTTGTAAGACGTCTCTATTTTTTTACCCTTTTATTGTGAATTTTGTTGTTCAATTCGATAGGTCCCGAATGTTTTTTCTTTAATTGTAGCACTTATATGAGATTTGCGATTTACATGTCGTTTTACACTTTTGTGAAAATTATTCAAGTCTGTAATACCGACTGAGTTCCAATGAATTTTTTCGGTTATATTAAAAAGTAGGCAAGGCCAGCAAAACAATTTCTTCAAAGTTTTGCAGCCGGTTAACCATTCATATTTTCTTTGCTGACTTTTCTACTTTCATCTATAAATTGATAGGATCCATTAGTCTACTAGAATTAATAATGTCCGTTTTCTCTTCAAAATTTCTACTTGAAAATCCTTTTTTCAATAAAGAGCACATAATACGGACACAATTTATCACATTATTATTGCTCACAGACACAGTGCATAGTTCCTCCATTTTACAAAAAGAAAAACAACTACAAAAAACAAAGCGAAATCTATACGACTTTCCTCACACATTGATTCGTGGTGCGAATTTCAATATGCGTAAGACGACGTAAAAACCGCTGCATCTCGACCATATTTCACGTGTTCAAACAGACTGACTACAGTGTCGCGGCAAAGCAGGGTCAATAACACGAAGCGAAATCAATTGAAAGATGAGCCGGCTTTTTCAAGACGCGCCTCCGCCGACGGACTCGAAGTATATGGTGTGCGCGTTTACACAATTAATTTTCTCATGGGTGGTGCGTGCGTTTACACATTACACCAATGAATTGTTAGTACATTTACGAAGTTTACGTAATGTTTCAGAGAAAATATAGTACCTAATTTAATATTAATTTCTATGCTTTGTAAACTGAAAAATATTTATTTTTAAATCTCAAAGTGTAGGAAAGCGGTGCTTCCCCCGCTTCCATGGACTGCACGCCCCTGCATTATGTTACAATATTAAATCGTTAGGAGAAGATACAAAAATGTAAATTACCTTAGCTGTGACTTCCTCTTCTACCTCTTCTGCCTAAAACATATATTTATTTAGTTTAACAATATTAAATTTTAGAATAAAAAATAGCTATTATGTAACCAGCTAGTTCCAGTTTTTATTAAATTATACAGTGTGGTTCATAAAGATGAATCCATGTGGGACTTTTTTTATATTACGATTGGAAAAAATAGCGTAGGGCTTTCACTTCTGTTTTTTATAGACATGTTAAAGTTGGCTAGGTACTGCATTAGTTATCTGTCAAACTCGATATTTTTTTTTTCTTTGAAAAAACGTTTTCAAATTTGACAGAAGCAAACTTTGATATGGGCTATTTTAATTTTTTTAAATAAGTAGATACCATTACCTTGCGACGTTTTTTCGTTCGTATTATTAAAAAAATTCCCATTTGCATCCAACTTTAGAGCACACATTATATAACTAGTTTTTGATACACAGAGTGTCCAGCAAATTGTTTGTACATGGAGCTACCACAGATTTATGTTCTCAAAATAAGTTGATTTAATTAAACTAACCTAAAGACCAACTTGCTTCGTTTGGTCGCTAGAGGTCAAAGAGTTAAATAAAAATATCTGCTTTTTCTTTAATTTTCAAAATTCAGCTCCCTCTAGGTGAGTGAAATGTTAAGATCCTTGGTAAAAACTATTTGAATAGCAGAGGAATTCAGGAGCCACGTTTTGTCAACAATACACCTGGTGATGATTGGGTGAAATTATTTTTAAAATGACACAATAACGAACTGGGTCAAAGATGGGCTGCTAACATAAAGAAGGCAAGAGCTGCGGTTACCAGGGAAACTATTCAGGATTATTTTAACAATCTACAAGAAACGCTGCTAAATGTGGAGCCTCAGAACATGTTTAACTATGACGAAACAAATGTTTCTGATGACCCCGGAAAAGTTAAAGCTTTGTTTAGAAGAGGGGTCAAATATCCAGAACGGGTTTTCAACCATAAATCGTCAACCACGGTGATGATGTGTGGCTCAACAAGTGGTGTGCTTTTTCCACCCTACGTAATATATAAAGGAGAACATCTCTGGAATACATGGAAGGTTGGTGGCCCGAAGGGTGCCCCTTTTTGTTCAGAACCTTGTTGCAGTGCTGGAACTCGGTTTGCTAGAACCAAACATGGTTGGATTGATTCCGAAACCTTTACTGACTAGTTTGAGACGTGTTTCCTTCCCCATGCACGGAGACTTGATGGAAAAAAGGTGTTGCTGGGAGATAATCTCGCTTCACATATAAACATTGACGTTATAAAAAAATGTGAAGAGAATAATATTTTGTTTGTGTGCCTCCCTCCTAATAGCACACACTTGTTGCAGCCTCTGGACGTAGCGTTCTTTAGACCATTCAAAACAGCCTGGCGTGGTATTTTAACTGTTTGGAAGTTGACTTATCTGCGAAATAATGCAGTTCAGAAGAAACAATTTCCCTCTTTATTGAAAGCAACTTTAGAAAAAATGGACTCCGTCCCATCCAAGCAACGAAACCAAGAACATGGTAATGCCATTAAAAGAATTTTAGTTTTGCGAAAATTGCCCAATGGAAATCCTGAAGAAGCTGAACAGTTTGTCAACGATACACTAACTGACCTTCTACGATCAGAACGAGAAACTGGACCATCAAACTCGAGACCGAGACAAAAAAGAATGAGATTGCAAGTAAAACCAAGAAAGAGCATCACTGCCCAAAGTTCATCTGATGATAAAACTCCTATTGAAATGGCAGAATTCGAAGAGAGTGATGCAGAGCAAGACATTTCCAGCCCACAAGAGAATGCGGATGCTCAGCAAGAAATACAGTCGAACCGTTCTGATGAAGAAAATGAAACCGCAACGGAATTATTGGAAGAGCATGGATTGCTAGAAGAAGGAAGTTATGTCCTAATAAAATTTACTGGTGAGAAGTCAGCCGGATCAACATACATTTATGTGTGTTGTATAACCAAAATTATATCAGAAGACGAAATGGAAGTTCAGGGATTCAGATCTTTTGTACAATTGAATAGACAAAAATTCAGGCCTGTTGGAAATGATGTCTCTTCAAAATCAAAATCAAAATTTACCAAAACCGAAGAAAGAAGGCAGCATCCATCGACCTGAATTTATTTTTCTAAACTTCATTAAAGTTAATGAATACTGATTAATTCTTGACGAAAATTTGTAATTTCTTTTTCTAATTTTGTTCTTAATAAAGCTCTTTGAAAAAACAATTTTTTTGAGTTATATAATAATAAATATATTAAATAGAACATTTTACAGTCATATTTGCACTTGATTATTAATGGTCAAAGTCACCCCGATATACGTTGACCGATTTTCACCGGAGTGACTTTGATCACATGTATTGAGGTCTAATAAAGAATTATGCAATTTCTAGCCCATGATCAAAGACACCCCAGTCAACCAGGTGGCATTGACCAGCACTTTTTATTAAATATGGTTTAATATTGAACGTTCTACCCTTTATTTTAATATGCAAATCGATTAAGAAAGCCTTAACATATAAACTGGAAAAAAAAATTTGTTTTTAATGTTTTAGTTTTAAAAATATTTACTAAACTATTTTTAATTTGATCAAAGCCACCCCTGTTTACGGTACGCAAAAATGTATTAAAACATGTTTATCTTTGCAAATCCACAAATATATTTTTATTCTAAACGTGAATCTTATTTATTAACAAACAAGTCCATCCGTGAAGGCACTATATAGTTTATACTATATTTATTTCCTTAAAAAACCTCTCAATTAAAGGAATATAAAATTTTGTGGTATAATATGGGCACGATGCAGTGAAATAGTAAAACATCTCAAAATGGCTAATATTTAGAAAATGAAAGGAACAACACTTTTTGTATAACGAATTGATAATTTTTTTAAATTTATAAGTTACAAGAAAGTTGTGAATAAATATGTATTATTTTATATAACAAGAAATGGGTCTACTTGTACTTCAATTTTCAGGACTAACAAATAAAAATTTATGTATTTCTTTTAAAGCACTTCATATTTTCTTTTATCTAAGAGAGAAGTTAAAACAAAATATTCATATCAATCTCTTTTCATTATTTATTAATCACTCAGTATAATAATATTTTAATTTATGTTTCCTTGACTAAAAGCATTTATTTATTCTTATATACTAAATAATGAATAAAAAATTAAAACTAAAATTACCGGTTGCTCAATGTACTGTTTAAGGCTTTCTTCCATATCTGCCATTTTTCGTCTTGCAAAATTTCACTTCTAATTATTTAAGTGACTACTTAAATGTTATTTACACAACTGAATCCAAAATTAAATAAGAAATCTCGTATATCAATATTATAATATCAATATCACGTTTTCCGGTGGATAAGGGCCAAAGTTTTATCAAAACAAGGTTTTCCTTTTATGATTGAAATCAATAAGTGTTTCCTAAAAGGAAATTTTTTATGTAACCGATAATATTATGATAATAAAATCATGAGCGAATTTCGTGGTTTAATATAGAGATTGTACACTGAAAGAAGTGCCTATTCCTGTACGGTATTCCACGGTTTTAAAATTATAAAGTCAATTCAAAAGTGATTCAAAATGGTATGAGTTAGTGATGGTATTTAAAAAAGTCATAATAAATTATTAAAATTGTTTAAATTTTATGCTTTATGAATATTTTTGGCACAATTACGACGTGTTTAAAAATAGCTCCCCCTCAAAATAGTTCTGAACGAAATAGTGCTGAACGAAATAGCGCCCAACGAAATAGTTCCTTCTCGAAATAAGGCGTATCAAAATAGCGTCTAAACCAAGTAGCGTTTATACAAATAGGGCTAGTCAAAACAGCGTCCTAAAGAAACAGTACCTGGAACTATCATAAATCATAAAATAATAAAAAAAAACTAATTTACCTAACCTATGCCGATCAAAAACAAAAAAGGAAGGAGAGGGGGGAAGAGGCCCCATCACCACTCCCGTACCTAGCAGATTTGGTCCTCACTCGTTTAGGTTAGAGTACCAACTACTCGATCTTTTTTAATTGCAAAATATCAAAAAAATCTTTTAGGCATACAGGTATTTTTTTGGTATAATCTACAAAGCCAATATAGAACTTTACTGAGAAATTTGCCCTGTAATTTCTATTTCCCGTGCGCCCCTGTCTTTTTATATTTTTTGTCTCGCAAAATTTTAATATATACAGGGTGGCTCACGCTCAACGGGACGGAGCTTTATGGGAAAACGACCAAAGATATAAAAAATTCGTTTGGGAGGAATACGTAGGTTACAGACGGCTACAATTTAAAATTTGTTAGATGTATACAGGATGTCCCACATAAGAAAAAAAAAATTAGTTCATTAAAAATTATTCAAACAAGAGTAAACAATTAATTTCTGGGAGACTTTTTTTTGCATAAAAATTCAAATAAATCGAAAACTAATAATAATAGTAATAGGGAACCTTTAGTTAACTGACATTATTTTTGATGTAGTTTTTAATTCTAAAATAAAAAACAGGGTGTTCCATTAAAAATAATATAACTATGTATATTTTCTCTTATGCGGGACATCCTGTATACATCTAACAAATTTTAAACTGTAGCCGTCTGTAACCTACGTATTCCTCCCAAACGAATTTTTTATATCTTTGGTCGTTTTCCCATAAAGCTCCGTTCCGTTGAGAGTGAGCCACCCTGTATAGTTAACCTGACCTATCTTATCTTCATGCGAATAAAAATTTTGGTGAAACTGTTTTAAATCACGCATTAACAGGATACTGCATCTATTCGCTCTGGGCATGACAGTAGCGCAATTTATTTATGTACTAATGGACTATTTTTGCGAATACTGACAATAAAATTTTTAATAGAATTCGTAAATGAAAAGTATATATGTTAGTTTTAATAAAAGTATATGGATTTGTAGAACAAGTGAAACATTAATTTATTATTATACGTCATATAATATAAAAATCAAACACCTCATCGATGACGTAATAAATTTTAGACCGTCACCGTTGCCAAATTTTGAAAATAATTGGGAAATCTTTGAAAGTTCCGACAATTGTAGCTACAGAAAAGAAAAGCAGATGTAAATCGTTGTGATGTTAGCCAATTAAAAATACCAGTCAGTAGTATGGTATAGGTATAAGCATGAATCTATTAAGAACATTAGTTGAGTAAGGTTTTTAAAAAATAATATCAAAATTTGCTTTATGGGATTATATTAATATGGCATGTAGAAGCATTATTATAACGTTGCAGTTATTTTAACTACCTGAACAATATTTGGGTATCAAAAAATGAAAACATAAATATTTTTCAAATCATAACGACTTTTATTTTATAGTTTGTTAGTTATATAAAATTCCTATGCAAATAACAAAGTAAATATTAAACAATTAATATTGTTCATAACCAATGTTCAATATACTAAACGATATACTACAAATAGAAATCAAGCTAATAATTAGGTACATTTGCACTGCTAGTCGTTAACAAATAAGTGAAGCTTCATTTTTATTCGAAAAACTGTCTTAAGCTTTGATTATTTCTTAATGACTAGAAGTGCAAATAAAAAAAGCTTAAAATGACTTTTTTATTGAAAAACTCACATTAGGTTTTGCTTAATTCTTAACAACTAGTAGTCTTCTTAATTAAATAAGCTAGGTACATTTAATACAAAAATCATTATTGTCAATTTTTGTCAAGTTCTTTAAATTTAATTCACTAAATTTACCATTTATTTTAAATTCATGTTTAAGGGCCGTTTGCATAAAATGTAGGTAAGGAAGAGGTAGTAACAGTGAGACGGCTGGAACACTGAGACATGATAGTTTTGTCAAAAGGTATCTGTATTTGGATGATGCAGACCATTGAATAGTAACCCTACCAAGGGCTCTCAATACATCAGATGCAATTTAGTTGATAAAGTAAAAAAGCAGTAACAGATGATCAGTTTAGTGTGTGACAAAGGAAATTTATTAGCCCTCTTTGAATTAGAATTTTTCCTGGTTAATACCAATTTAAACAAGGTAAGTCTACTAGAAGTGTTTATTAGTGTCGTGGTAGCACATGACTATAGTTTTTAGCTCGTAAATTCAAGATTTAATATTTTGTGAAAAGTATTTATAAAAAATGTGGTTTAGGAACACTGAGACTAGTCATAATTGGAACAGTGAGACGTGTCTCAGTGTTCCTAATGCATGTCTTAGTGTTACTTATTGCATAGCGGCATTACTGACCAGGTATAATTTTTATTACAGACAATAGTAATGCCAAGAAAGAATAAAACAGACAGGGTAGTGGGGCGATTTAGTGACACAGCAATGAGAGAAGCTGTTTTGTTAGTCCAACAAGGAATGAGTAACCGTCAAGCCGCTAGAGAAAAAGGCTTGTCTTTTCAGACTCTTGCCAGATATGTTCAAAAGTTTAGAAACGATCCTGATGTTAGAATGTGTCTAAACTATACATACAATCAATTTTTCACTTCAGAGCAAGAGAATGAAATTTGTGGTTATATTATTACATGTGCAAAAATGTTTTATGGACTCTCTCGAGATGACACCCGTCGGTTAGTGTATGAATGCGCAATCCGAAATAAAATAAATATTCCTGAAAAATGGCATGCGTGCCAATCAGCATCCCTTGCCTGGGTAAAGGGCTTTCAAAAAAGACACCCCATCTTAGCGCTCAGAACCCCAGAAGGCTGCAGTTTATCAAGAGCCACTGGATTTAATAAATTTAATGTGGAGTCTTTTTTTAATAAACTAGAAGAAGTCTTACAGCGTCATCCTGCATTTGGAGATGGAACCAGAATTTTCAATTTAGATGAAACCGGGACGCAAACAGTACAGAAATCACAAAAGGTGTTTGCTTGTAAAGGTGTTCGGCAAGTCAGTAAAGCAACCAGTGCCGAACGTGGAACTCTTGTAACAACCTTTTGTATAGTTGGGGCCTCAGGTGTAGCTATTCCCCGGCTATGATTTTCCCGCGTGTCCATTTTAAAGTCTTTATGACAAACGGAGCTCCACCAGGAACCCTAGGGTTAGCTGCTAAGGGAGGATGGACGAACACCGAATGTTTTGTGCAGGTTATAAATCACTTTATCCGACATACTTCTAGTTGTAAAGAAAATCCATCTCTGCTAATAATGGATAACCATGTTAGCCATCTATCCATAGAGGCCATAGACATTTGCAAAGAAAACGGGGTGACTATATTAACTATACCACCACATTGTACAAATAGGCTGCAACCCCTGGATGTTGGGGTTCTAAAGCCATTCCAGACATTTTACAGCTCGGCGATCGATAGCTGGATGATGAGCCATCCAGGACAAACTTTTAGCATTTATAATGTTGCATCATGCGTGGGCATTGCTTATCCTCGAGCGATGACTCCGGTAAACATTACCAATGCGTTTAGGAAATGCGGATTATTTCCTTTTAATAGACATATTTTCAATGTGGAAGACTTTATGCCAAGTTCAGTAACTGATAGAGAATATACCCCATCTCCTTCAATACCGACTTTGCCCTTCCCAGGTCCTTCATTATCGACACTGGCCTCTCCAGGTCCTTCCACATCGACTAAGATCCACGAAAATAGTTCTGAGACTATGACAAATGACACTTCTGAAGCAACATTTCTGAGCCCGAAAATTTTTAGAGGTTTCCCGAAAGCTAAACCAAGAACAACCACTCAAACAACAAAACGGCGCAAAGGAAAAACCATGATAGCAACTGACACTCCTGAACGCGAGGAATTACTAAGAAACAAACAGAATAAAATAAAACCAGACAAAGAAAGAGTAAAGAAAAATATATTTAAAAATGAAATAAAAAGTGGTGGCAATGAAATGAACCTTGCAAAAAAAAGCCAGAGAAGAAATGAAGAAGAAAGTGAATCAGAAGATGATAGTTTTGATATAGAATTGCCAGACTCAAGTAGTGGTGAGGATTATGTAAGCGAAGATGAAGAAATAAATGTGAACATGGGATTAGAATGAATGCCAGTTCCAGAACAATATGTTTTAGTGGAGTTTCAAAGTAAAGGAAAGTCTGTTTACTATGTAGGAGAAGTTTTGTCTACAGCAGGTGATGATGCTGACATAAAATTCCTCCAAAAAAGTACAAAATCTTATGGAACTTTCATGAAACCTGATGTTGAAGACATATCACTTGTTCAGAAAAATAACATTAAAATGATATTGCCACCTCCAAAGCTTCAAGGGAAGACTAAGCGTCAACAAAACCTCTTGAAATTTGAAATAACCTTCGATTCCTTAGATATTCGTTA